GTATGTTAAAATACTTTTACCTTCACAGTCTCTGAAGTCATGTGGGTACGTCAAAGAGCAGTTTGCTTGGCGCCATTTCTACTGGTACCTGACCAATGAGGGTATCCAGTACCTGCGGGACTTCCTCCACCTGCCCCCAGAGATCGTGCCCGCCACCCTCCGCCGCCAGACCCGCCCAGAGACCGCCAGACCCCGTCCCAAGGGTAAGAGCAAAGTCCCTTTCAAGGGAAGTCTGTTCGCTCGGCAGCCATATTTGCAGCGCCTCCGGGCAGCTATTTTGGGCATCCAAGACCAAGTCCTATCTAAATGCTGAAATCCTGAAATCTCAAAAACTGCCTGCTGAACTCACAATTAAACTACACATTTCAAATGAGCAAAAAAATCTGAAATGAACTGCTCCATGAATGTTGTTCCTCATGCTCAAATAGCGTTAAAAAAAGCATATTTTTCAGGCAAGACCAGCCAATGTGCATGTGCAGTCATAAGCGCGAGTTAGGGCTGGGCAAAAAATCGAATGCGATTTTCATGCGAATTTCGTCAGTAAAGCCGCTTCTGTGATTAGTAGTAAATCTCCAGCACGTGCTTTCAGATGGAGCGGCATTTACTACACAGAGCCGTAGATCGCTGACAAGCTACACAAAATCGCATTCAAAATCGCAGGCTATTCATTGCCGATTTTGTGTAGCTTGTCAGTGAACTACGGCTCTGTGTAGTAAATGCCGCTCCATCTGAAAGCACGTGCTGGAGTGTTTTACTGACGAGATGCGCTTGAAAATCGCATTCGATTTTTTGCACAGCCCTAGCCACGAGTCTTGGGTTTCTATGGGAACCGGAGCTTCTAAAGGCAGCTGCAGTGACACAATGACTTTACCAATCAGCCATTGGCTGTTTCATTCAGAAGGCGGGACTATTCCACCATATTGCGCGTTGCAGTTTTTCCCATTCATAAGTAATAGGAGCGAACCGTCTTTGGTTATCTATAGTCTTTGGTAAGAGGCTCATTGTCCTCTCCTAGAGAGCGTTTCAGAACGGAAAAACTGTCATTCACCTTCATGATTTTCCATGCAACATATTTTGAAGAAAATCCACACAGCTTTTCCATGCAATGATGTTCATAATGAACAAAAAAAACCTAAAAGTAGTTCATATCTCTCATGCTGTAATTTGTAAAATCATTATTGCTAGAAAGCTATGTTATGGCTTCAGAAGAAATTGAATAAAGTGCATTGACCATTTTTTTTTTTTTGGTGCTTGACTGATGAATGGTTGTATATAAATGCAAATTGTCATTCATAATGTGTCACAGTCCCTCCCTTTCAAAGAGCTTGACTAAATGTGGTGTTCTGCAGGTCTTGAGGGAGAGAGACCGGCTCGTCTGGCCCGTGGCGAGGGAGACAGAGATGCTTACAGACGGTCTGCAGCTCCGCGTACGTACACAATACATCCTAACTGTTGACATCAGCTTATTCTTAACCTCTGTGTGGGATGGTGTTAAACTAAAAACTGATCTTACAGCTGGTGCAGACAAGAAGGCTGAAGCTGGTGCAGGTGCAGCCACAGAATTCCAGTTTGTAAGTACTTCTGTTTAAATGCTATTTTAATTCAACAATTACATAAACGCAAGCTTAAATCATCCTACTGGGAAAAGGATATTATGACGCTTACTTTTGCATGCGTTCTCTTTTGTGTTTTCAGAGAGGTGGTTTTGGCCGTGGCCGAGGACAACAGCCACAGTAATTTTCTACATTATCTGTACAATAAAGGTTTAAAAGTACTGCTGTGTCCGACTTGTTCATATATTGGTTTCAGATACTTATGAATGCATTCATTGTGTTATTTGGTGCCTTAAAGGAGTCATTCATCCAAAAATGTGAATTTGCTGAAAAACTTACTGAAGAGTTCAAACTGCTGATAAAAACAAAACAATAATCCTTGCGACTTCAGTCCATCAATTAACATTTTGTGAAGGGAAAAGCTGTGTGATTGTAAGAAACAAATCCATCAAGATGTTTCTATCTTCAAACCTTTGCTTCTGGCTGAAATATGAGTCCACTATCCATAATATTGCTTGCGTCTCGTCTGAATCAGGAGAGAAATCTGCACAGATCAAGCACCGTTTACAAAACAGTCCAAAACAAATGTGTGTGGATTTTGATGTAAGAGACAACAGGACATGGACTTTTTCCCACTGGAGTTCGTGTTATAATGGATTATAAGGCCCTGTCCACACGAATGCAGTTATTTTTAAAACCGCTGCTTTTTCTACACAGTTTGGCCGTTCGTCCACACGCAAACGTTGCACCAGGTCACTAAAACCGAACATTTTTGAAAACGCCTGCCAGGGTGAAGATTTTCAAAAACTCCGGTTGCAGTGTTATCGTGTAGACAGCTAAACCGGAGTTTCTGGCTTGTGACGTCGGAGCCTGTGCTGTTATCTCCGCCTACTGGAAACTTTTTCAGGCTTCAGATTGGCCAACCTGGCTTTACGGTTGATATTATATCGCCACCTGTTGGTTTGGCATGCTCTTGACAGTGCTTCATAGCATGCGTTTTCATGTGGATGGCCGGAGATTTTTTTTAAAACGGAAGGAAAAACTCTGTTTATAAAAATATTTTTTATACGTGTGGACATGGCCCTATTTTGGCCAGAAAAAAAATGGAGAGTTAGAACGTTTTGATGGATTTGTTGCTTACAAACACAAGCTTTTTGCTTCACAAGATGTTAACTGATGGACTGGAGTGGTGTGGATTATTGTGATGTTTTTATCAGCTGTTTGGACTCTCATTCTGACGGCACCCATTCACTGCAGAGCATCCATTGCTGAGCAAGTGATGTAATGCTACATTTCTTCATGTCTGTTGCCATAAAGAAAAACTCATCTACATCTTGGAAGTGTTGAGTACTTTTTCAGCAAATTTTCATTTTTAGACGAACTATTCCTTTTAAAAATATCCCAAAATTTTTGAATTTTCTTATGCACTTTCGGTGTTGTCAATTTTGGTCCATCATCCTGGAAGGATCCTGTAAATCTTAAATGTAAATAGTTTGACAACATTTTAACGTTACACACTAGCATATATAGTTTGCCTCAAAAGCCATGAAGTACAAACACAATGCTACATAAATCAGAATATTTGGCATGCTAAAAAAGTATTACAATTTTGACTCTTATGGGACAAAGTCACTGAAACTTTGAGATGAAATACTGGTGTTTATTAGTTGGCACATTTATATTACATTCTCATACTGGTTGATTTCACAATCCCAAAATGAAAAAGCAAAATAATCCAGTGAAGGGTGTAGCTGTGAAACTGAAGTCTCAGCTTTTGTTTCAGAGCGTTGGGAGATCTCAGTCACAATTCCAGCATCCCATTTAAACCAATTACATCACGTTTACCAGGCTGAACTCTCATTTACGTTACAAAAGTTTACATTCCGAGTCACAAGCAGGGCAAGTTTAAGGTGCTTTCCATGAGATGTTCTTTAAGGATATGGGTATTTCACATGGTCTGTGATATACTTCAAATGCAGCGGTTTAGATTTCACATCCTTGTTTTGTAGGACATTGAAACGACTGTGCTCAGAGAAGACCATTCACAGCAATGATCGGCTACAGACGCGCAGCCACTTCCACTTACTACACGCGTCAAACAGTTATATGCTGCTGTGCTACTGAAAATGAGGGGTACATTAGGATGGCCATCACATATTTCAATCAAGAAAACAGTCCAGATTAGGGATTACATGCTACACTAAAAGTGAAAGAGAAAGACTTGCAATCAGCTGCAAATTCGATGACATTAGTGTTGATAGATATTAATCAAAAGCATGTAAACATGAATCACTGATAAAAGTATGTTCATTCACTTTTTAGATCTTGGGTTCATCATTACTCACTTTGCAGTTAGAAAAGAAATCTTGAATTACAAATGTACTTTATAATGCACTTTAAACTCCCAGAGGAGCAAAACGATGCGGTTCAGTCTCGCGGAAATAAATCACCCAACCTAACGTGTACCATATATCTATACATCATAACAAGCACTCGATTTGATCTGTACAAGAGCAATTAAAAGACACCAAAACATCTCGTGGCTCAAGATTCACAGTATTGCGCCAACTGCTGCTTTCCAAGCGCTTTACAGAGCGTGCAGTTCGGCTTCCAAGACGCATTTGACATTTCAAAGACAAGACAAGACGTTTAAATGTTTTCTAGATGAAGATATGGTCATTTCTAAAAAGGGTGAGAGGTTAAAACAACCAAAAACCTCATCAGCTGGACTTGAAGTCCAAGAAAACAGAAGGCCAGAAAACATCTTCAGCAACTGATGTCAGAAGAATATTAATGGCCAAATCTACTAAGGGAAGATAATAAAAAAATTTCAGGTCCATCAAAAGTGCCCTCAGAAATGTTGTGAAAACTGTCCTAGTGCAGACTATAGAGCTAATTGTGCGCAAAAAAAAAAAATTACTATATAACCATCTCCATTGAAATAGCTCTTTATGTGTCGTTTGAGAGTCGTTACGGTATTAACGAAATGCGAAATGTAAACATCATCTAACGGCTAAAATGAACATGAAACCCATTTTACTTCCTTAAAGGGATAGTTCCATAAAAAAAGAAAATTGTCATTATTTACTCACAAAATACATAAAAATAGAATGGGAAAAAATACTATTGAAGTCAATGGCTACCGTCAACTGTTTGGTTACCAACATTCTTCAAAATATCTTCTGTGCTCAACAGAAGAAATAAACTCATACAGGTAAATAAAGAGTAAATAATGACAGAATTTTCATTTTTGGGTGAAAAAGAAAAGTGGTTTAATTTTATCCAAGATCAACTGCTCATTATTGATGGCATTTTTTCCCCCCTGAAACAATATGAACTTAAATCAATCATGTCCAATATTACATTAAACACATTAAGAAAGTAAAAAGCATCCATTTTTGAAACTGCCAGATAACATTATAATAGTTCATTGTTTTTTGTTTTTTGCTTTGAAAATCGAAGTGAATCTTCTAGTTTAGAGAGAGGATTTCCAAGCTACTTCTTGATTTAACTGTTCACTCTTATCTTCCATGGCACTTCTTAAATTCAACATGGTATGTGCAACCCATTTTACTTCTTTAAAATGTATAACGTATTGTGAGGAAGAAACGAAACGAGACTTCCATCCATCTGGAAGTGACTGCATCATGAAAAGTGAGTGTTTCACACCATCATGGGATTGCAGTTGCAAAATATGGTGCACTAATGAAAATACGTTAAAAAGTACATTTGTTTTCATGTTGATTTTAAAAAAGTGCTACAGAAAACCATTCCAGCACAACAACAACCTGCCAAACCATACCACCACTATATCACAGTCTGCTTAAAGGGGAATTGTTTCGTTTCTACATCACTAGCGGCACTAAACGGAATTGCAAAAATAATGTCAGAACAATTTATCTGCAATGAATTGGTGCTGCTAGTGGCACAAAATTACACACAAGATTCATTGTAATGTTTGCAATACTAAATTCAAAGTCCTTCAAACATCAGCGGGTTGGGAAAAAAGTGTGCGCTTGTAGAACTGCGCTCTAATCGAATCAGGTAATAGTATAAATTAAATAAGTTTTTGCAGGCCCATAAGTTATTTACAAGATGGCAAGACCAAAACAAAATGGGCAAGTTAAGAGCAACAATTTAACACGAAGTACAGGTTAAACATTCATCGCATCACGCAAACTCATAAGCCAAATAAATACCAGTGTTCATGCAAAACTATTAATTTCTTACAGTTCCACCATTCAGAAGACTAAACGTTTTCTCACAAGCGCCGAAAGAGAACTAATGAAAAACTCGTTCACACTTACGCACGCAGAGGAAATCTAATGTGTAAAAATACTGAAAGCCACATGCTGACGCACCATGTGTAGATTTTTACATCACAACAGTAAAGAGTAGTTCTTGCATTCGTTTAATCTCACACTTGGGCCGCTAAAAGGACGTGGGTCGCGGGTTTCATGCAACAGTCCGCATGAAAGGAGGATTAAACAGGAAAAAGCAAAAGTGTTACATTTACAAAACATCATTTCGAATATTCAGCCAACACTTGATGTCTGCGCCACCTTCTTTGTGCTTAAAAAGCCTTGGCAAACCGTTGTTTTTGTGTCTGTTTTTAAAGAAAAAGAATCAAAAGAAGAATAGAATTATGAAAGTAAGAGCAAGAGTGGTGGAAGCATCCAGAGTGTCTGTGTTTTGCATTAGTTATCTGATATCAGAGACGGAGCTCTGATTAATGCTGTAGGTGGGCGACAGGTCTCCTCCGCCTATCGTGGCCACCAGGGGCGTCCCGTTACTGTTCAGACAGCCTTCCTGCAGGGCCTCGAAGTACGTGGCCTGTACTGGTTTGTGACACTGCAACACTTCTATGGCATCTTCGATTTTGAACCATTCCCTTTTTCTCCCTGTCAAAACAAAAAAGATAAGCAGGTGTATACTGGCCAACAGAAGACAACTGTATGTTCGCCAATCACAAACTTATGTTTCTGACCTTTTAAGGTTTTACACACTTGTAAATCCCAGAGTGGCTCTGACAAGAATATTCTGATATTGATTAGAATTTGGTCATATTTTGATGAGATAAATCATGATAATGTGACATTGATAAAGTGTTCATCTGAAATATGGGTCATGTATGCACTTTATTTAGTATATACACTGTAAAGAAATATTATTTCATACTGTTTAGAAAATTCGGGGTTAGTATGTTTTGTTTTTGAAAGAAATTAATACTTTTATTCACAAAGGACACATTAAATTAATCAAAAGTGACAGTAAAGACATTTAGAATGTTAGAAATGTCAAATATTTCAAATAAATGCTGTTCTTTTGTCAAAGAATCCTGACAAATGTAATTTATCACAGTTTCTACAAAAATATGAAGCAGCAGAACTGTTTTCAACCTTGATAATAATCAAAAATGTTTCTTGAGCAGCAGATCCAACATATGTGACCCTGGACCACAAAACCAGTCTTAAGTGTCAATTTTTCGAAATTGAGATTTATACATCATCTGAAAGCTGAATAGATAAGCTTTCCATTGATGTATCGTTTATTAGGATAGGACAATATTTGGCCGAGATACCACTATTTCAATATCTGGAATCTGAGGGTGCAAAAAAAAAATGAAAATACTGAGATCATCTTTAAAGTTGTCCAAATGAAGTTCTTAGCAATACATATTACTAATCAAAAATTAAGTTTTAATATATTTACTGTACGAAATTTACAAAATATATTTATGGAACATGATCTTTACTTAGTATCCTAATTATTTTTGGCATAAAAGAAAAATCAATAATTGTGACCCATACAATGTATTGTTGGCTAGTATTTCACAATATTACTAGATTTTTAGTGGTAAATATAAACATTAAAAAAACAAACTTATGAATGGTAGTGTATTATTCTAAAATACAAACCAATGTTGACTGAATCCTCCCAATCGTCCAGAACTTCGGTCACGATGAGAACATAGACGTACGTTCTGTGTTTCCGATCTCGATTCTGTGTATAAAACAAAATGTTATTTAAAATAGTTAAGACAAGCAGCACAACACTTTAAATGCATAAGCTGAAATGCTTTTATAGAAAACCATTTCTTACCTCAAATATTCCTACTAGTCTTCCTAAAGTGCCCTTAACACCAGCCTATAAAACAATGAATAGATGAAACTGTTTTTTATTTTCATTATTTCATGATCAGAGATGGTCATTATTATGTGATCAGGTCCTTCAGTTTGTTGTCGTCAATACAGAACCATTGACTGATGCAATTTGTGTGTGTGAATTTGACAGCTATTTACAGGGGTCCAGAAAAGATGGATTTGTTTTGATCTACTGGTGCAAACGAGCAGGACAGCACATCAACAGGAACATGAAGGTGTTCCAAAGAACATCATGAGCTTCAAAAACATCTGACCAAGAGTCACATGATCAATAACACTCATTTACTTACATTTGATTAGTCACATAGAAATGCAGAATATTCCTTAATATTTTAACACTGTAACATGACATTTAGATTTCAAAATCTAAAAACTTTTCGATATGCTCTCAGACTTCAGGACAGTCTCACATATGCGGTCCCGTCAAACACTGATGGCATTGTGTCATGGTACGTTTATAGTGTACGGCCGCTCTTGGCTACTGTCTGGCAGTGGAGGTGTGAAGAGCAGCTCTTAATCTGAGTGTAATGCCCTTTAAAACTGTAAGGCGATCGTCCCGGCAGAACGAGCGACATGTTTGCTGTCTGTCAGATGGCCAGCGAAAGTAAGAGCGTATGGAGGATCTCAGCTGATGGAACATTATCACTTCTCTTTATGAGAAACCCCATAGGTTAAGTGTCAGCAGAGAGAAAACCTAGAGTTTCCATGTTTGCACAACGGATCGAGTCAAAAATCTATGCCAAAACATCAGTTATTGTTAGGAGGGAGAGACTAACACATTAGCTGATTAATCGGGTGATATTTGGCAATATTAAAATGATCAGGTCCATTGGTCGTGTTCTACAGCCAGAATTGACTGATTTTGAATCTAAGTTAATGTTGTACAAAAATCAGTGTGCATTTAAATTGGAAATTGTGTGTATATTTTATCCACATTATTAGCCATCAAAATATCTACTGAAAATCATGATAAATTTATGAGATCTCCTACAAATGGCGTAAGAGTCTTTGTAATGGACAGCTGATCGTGATAAATAATAAACATGATGATGATGATAATCTATGTCATGCATAATCCTAGAGATGAAAGCCAAACCTCTTCACAGACTTCTCGGGCAGCAGCGACGCTGGGCTCTTCCTCGGGCTCCATTCCTCCTCCGGGTACGATCCATTTGTCTGGGTATCTGCTGCTGCTTACCAATAACACCTGTGTGGACACATATTCCAGGTCTTCAGTCTGGTGGACTGGCTTAAAGTCAGTGATAGGACAATATATAGGTCTGGACAATTAATAACGGGCCACTGTGAAATAATCGCCATTGGCCACTGCTCTTCAACAGAAGTGATGCGTACCCTTGTGTCAGTTCAAAATCTATCAAATCAAAGTCACTATTTGCTAGAAAAGTAGTAATTTCAGCATTTTTGTGAAGATCTGGGGCCTCGTTTTTAAAGATCTGTGCAGAACGATCTTAAATGTGAACTGTTTTTGAAATGTTACCATGAATAATTTATAAAAATGTATATATCTGAAAAAAGTTTCCCGAATGCATCCCTATTAATAAACCCCTCATTTAAGCAATTTAATTAATTTCGGTGATGTAATAATCACAAAGCCGTTAAAGTATAACTCATTTTTCACATATAGTAATATTAATGTATAAATTAGTTTTACAATCAATTATTTTAATTACTACTAGTATATAAACGCAAAAAGTTTGTATGCATGCTTTTTAGTTGGCATATGCATGAAAACATTTTCACGTGTTTCTGACTTTATGAATTAAATTATAATGAATAGTAATACATTCATTCATTACTTTTGACGTAGGATGAAATCAATGGCATTTAGGATCAAATGTGTTTTATAAATGAGGCCCTTTTTCTGGAATAAATTGTATAATATAAATGTTGGCATTATTTTGGTTACTACTGAAAACTCCATTTTACTTATGCTTTCAAACGATGTAATAAAGTGCTCTCATTTACTTCTTAGATGCACCATACCATATGTTTTTCCACATTGAAGACACTTTACCATGGTATATTTCTAAGTACTATAGTAGGCCTATTACCGGATACCATCACTGTACCATGGTACTGCCACAGTACTTTTTTGTAAATTATGGTATCCAATTATCTCCAAAGAACACCATGGTACTTATTGTTAGTGGTGCTCAAAAATAAAAAAGCATTTCAGACATGTACAATGGTAGTACAGTACTATGGTATTCTTGTAAGTACCAAATGTTTATCCATATTCAAGAAACACATGAATTTCAGTACCATGGTATATTTCAAAGCATTATAGTATTACCTTATACCATCATTGTACCATGGTATGGTCTTCCAGATATCTTCAAAAAAAATACCATGGTACTTCTTGTTAGTGGTGCTCAAATTAAAACAATACCATGGTATTTTGGACACAATGCTGGTAGTCTCAATTTACCACAGTATTACCATCGAATGTACCATGATACACCACAGTAAGTTACTTTATTGCATTTGAAGGAATCTCTCATTTGAAATTTAGCACATATGCTCACATCAGATGGATTTCACTAAATCAATCAAGCTGTTAACGAGTCGCGCCGTCATTGATTAGCGCTTGTCGCGTCGTTTAACGCTAGGCCGACTCCGCTAACTAGTCCCGGGCTAACCCCTAATAGCACGCCGCTAACGCGCTACCAAAGGCTTTGAGATCCACCAGCTGACGCGTTGAGAGACGCACGCATCGAGCGTTCTCCCGGCGGCGCGACTCACCTCCTGCTCGGTCTCGTTCCTGAAGCACAGGCAGGCGGCCCGCTTCTTGTACCCGTCTCCATCATAGGTACGCGTTTGGTTCGACTTGAGCTTCATCATCTCGGGCTGGGCGTCGCGACTGAGATCGGAACGTGAACCTGAGAGTTCCAAGAGAGGCAAAGTCCGCGAATGGAAATAAGCCCCGCGTCAATCACTGGAAATAAGCTCTTCTACGCTTCATTTTTCCAATGCCGAGCGTATCTCGGAGTCAGACGCCATTATCGAAACCGCTACGGGATGTGCGCATTCAGCGCAGCCTGCACAGCGCATACGGACAAAAAGAACGTTGTTGATGTTAGAGAATACGGCCTGCGGATATGAAATTCCGCATAACAATCCGTTCATTGTATAATAATAGTTATAATCAATAATAATTTGTTTTATTAACTGTTATTAATTACATTAACAATAATTGTTATTATTAAATTGATCTAATCAGTATTGAATAAAAAATACCGTATTTTACAGAACATACAATATTCATTTTTATTAAGTTATTGTAATTTTAAACAGTTATATTAACACTAATTGTTATACTATTATTAATCAAATCAATATTTAATTAAAATATACAGTACTGTAATTTGTCTTGGAGTTTGTGAAGTAATACTATAAATACTAACATGTAACATACAATTAAAATTATTTTTAAAAATCCCTATAACCAACTAATATTCAAATAAAACAACACTAACAATGACAAATAGCTATAAAATATCGATTCATAGAATACTCAAAATTATCAAATAAATATATCATTACCTCACTTTATTTAGTATTTAAATTGAAGTTGAAATAAAACTTCATAAACAATTAAAAAAGTAAACAATAAAAATCTCCTTATAAGGATTTATGTTTATAATATTTTTAATTGTTTAAACTCTCTCAAAATATATATATATATTTTACCTTTGCAGGTTATTTAGTATTTAAATTAAAGTAGTAACATGTTTCTTTAAATTATTATGCCAACCTATAACATTTAATATATTAATAAAATAAAATATTAAAATATAACAGTAATAATTAGTATTGTAAAATATGTAAATGCACAAACAATTTGAAAAAGTATTTTTATTAAGATCAACACACTCTAAATACAAATAAATTTTATAAATCTAATACACATTTTATAACTCTAATATTTTATTAATAAAATGTCACACACCATATGCCTATGTAGGCTATTTACTGCTACACGGACAATCGCTGCAGAATAAAGGATATACTGCTGAAGGGACTGACATTATCTTGGGCTTTTGCTGTCTGTTCATGACACCGTAATACCTGAGGTGAATATTTCAGAAGTTATGAGGACTTGAATGCATAAAATACAGTCCAGTATTGTTTGAAAGAGCATTAACATGGGCTATAATTTAGATTGCACTTTTGCTCAATATATGCATCTGATAACTCAAGATTTCAAGGGAGTGTATAATTTTTTTTTTTTAGGGACCCTGAAAAAAACAAAACAAATCTGAATCCTTGAGAAGCATATCTTATTGTCACTGTTGTGATTCGTCATGTACACAGCTAGATGATTCAAATAAATCATTTAGAAATAAATATTCCAAAAGCACTTGGGTGTGGAGAACCTTGAGCCGATACCTGTAATGCAAACAGTCCTTTAAGGAAATGCTGTAAGAAGGTGGTTTGTGTATGTTATATTATTGATAATATTAATGCATTTCAATGTTTTGGTTTTAAGGATTTTTTTAAATTTACTTTTTGGTACCTTGAGTCACCACTTGATGGCGTCCTGAAGCAAAACCACCTGAGAAGCACTTCTAGCAAAGCTTATATTAGGGAAATATTTAAATTGATGAATTATTTCTTTCTTCACCATTAGTTTTATCCTTACATCTCTTTTTAACCATTTAAGAATCACAAAGTGCTGTGCCAAATTCATTCCCCATTAGGAATTAGTACAACACAATACACCAGCAAAGACGTCTGTTTTCTGCGAATCAGTTTCAAAGTGCAATTTGTACCCGCAAGGTTGGTGTCAATGATGGCTTCAAAATTTAACAATGCTTCCATAAATTTCTATAGTGACAATTACAAACAAACACAGACATATACATCCAAATACAAACCTTTGCTATTATCATAAATGCTGATTCCTGGGAATTCTAGTGGAAAACATCACATTATAAGCTGCTGTTAAAGGAATAGTTCATTCAAAAGTGAAAATATGCTGAAAATGTACTCTTCCTCGGGCCATCCACGATGTAGATGAGTTTGTTTCTTCGTCAGAACAGATTTGGAGAAATTAAGTAATTCATCACTTGCTTACTTGCAGTGAATGGGTGCCGTCAGAATGAGAGTCCAAACAGCTGATAAAAACAACACAATAATCCACAAGTAATACACACCAATCCAGTCCATCAATTAACATCTCAAGAAGTAAAAAGATGGATGTTCGTTAAAAAAAAAAAATCCATCAAGGCGTTTTAAATTCAAACAGTCACTTTTGGCCAAAAAAATCCATAATAATGCTTCCTCCAGTGAAAAACGTCCATCCCCCATTGCCATTCTCATCAAAATCCACCAACATATTTGTTTAGATCTGTTTTAGACTGTTTTTGCTTGTAAACGGTGCTTGATCTGTGCATATTTCTCTCCTGATTCAGATGAGATGACTTTTTCAGTGGAGCAAGTTTGAAAAAAAGTTTGCATTTAAAAAACGTCTTAAGGATGGATTTGTTTCTTACAAACATACATCTTTTCTCTTCACAAGACATTAACTGATGCACTGGAGTGGTGTGGATTGCTTGTGGATTATTGTGATGTTTTTATCAGCTGTTTGGACTCTCATTCTGACGGCACCCATTCACTGCAGAGGATCCACTGGTGAGCAATTGATGTGATGCTACATTTCTCCAAATCTGTTCTGATGAAGAAACAAACCCATCTACATCTTGAATGGCCTGAGTGTGAGTAAACTTCCAGCAAAGTTTCATTTTTGGGTGAACTATTCCTTTAAACTAAATCGTATGTGCTCCCTCAACATCTGGCCTGGGTAACTTATATTTGATTACAAAATATAAGAACCTGCCTTGAAACAAATATTCACTAATGGCTGCACAGTATTATACACTAACAAAAAACCTATAGTAAACTGTTATTCTGTAAACTGTAAACAGCTATATTCAAAATGAATGCATTCTATGAGAACTATTAAGCCCATGATGTTACACACTAAATTATAGCTTGATCTAAATCTAGTCTACAATATGGACACAAAAATTACTAAACAGAACTACAAACAAAGCGTAAGTAGAAAAGCACCTCAGTCCAATAGATATATAATAAAGGTAACAGGAAACACATGACATTTGTATGCAGTGTGATTCTGGTGTCTACAGTATATTTTATCTAATGACATAAAACTCATGTATTATGCAGAATATTACATCTATTACTGTCCTTTTGTGGTTGTAGAAAGACGTGAATGACATTCCATGTTATTCACAGGTTGGAGAGCAGACGGTTGGTTTGTTTGTTTGTTTGGGTATGAGGTAGTGCTCCGGTTAGATTGTTACTGCTCCTCTTCATCATCTTCCTCAGCATCCTCAGATGAGTCCTGAGGTTTTTCCTTTTCCTATTTGGAACGAAATCAAACATTTGGGGATGAAATGCATGGAAGCAAAGCTTCTCTCTTGCATGCTATATTCGACATTTACAATGCCATTTTAAATAGGTTTAGCAAGATAGTTTGACCTTTAAATTTGCACGTCAATTCTGTGCAACTTGAAATGAAATATAAAATTTAAAGAGACAGTTCACCAAAAAATACACTACTGGTCATCAGCAAATTGGAATGATTTTTGAAGGAATGTTGAAGGACTGGAGTAATAATACTGAAAATGCAGCTTTGCATCACAGGAGTAAATTACATTTTAATACATATTAGAAATCTATTGTTTTGAGTTGTAATAATATTTCACAATGTTACTGCTTTTACTGTATTTGTGATCAAATAAATGCAGCCTTGGTGAACAGAAGAGACTTTTTCAAAAACACTTATTTATTTTATTTTAAACACTTAATTATTTAAAAATTTTGACCAGCAGTGTACAATTACTGAACATTTACTCTCATGCCGTTATGATTTTCTTTCTTCCATGGATTTTATGCACAAAACTTGATGCTGCAAAAATGCATGTTAAATTCATTTCAAACAGGACCCTGTACTTTTAATGCATTGGCCAAGCATTCACATCTGCATATTTGCATAAAGTATAGATTTTTGGCCATAGTCAATATATGCTGCAAAAACAATAATATAATATAATATAATAGCTTCACAATAAATAAATAAATAAATAAATAAACAAAAAGAATAGATGAAATAACTTTTAAAATAAGCAGTGTTCCACAGAACACAAATCTTGTTTTTGCACAAACTATTATTTTAATATGTACCTCTTTCTTCGGCTTTCCCTTCGGTTTGCTGCCAGAAGCCGACGATTTCTATGGCACAGAAAACGAAATTAACAAACAATTATTCAAGTGTTAAAAAATCAGTCACTTAGTTTTATGCAATAGTCCCTCCCATGCTAAACTATTGGATAAATCCAAGGGCGTTTCTATTTTTTCAAAGCATTTTCACAGGCCAGTGTGGCAATGAATGGCAAGAGCACCAGTAGAGGGAGCCTGTTTCTGCACATGACAGCAGATGGAGGGGGCATTGAGTTCATTGAGGACTCTTGAGGCGGGCACTGACAGTGCATTGCTCAGGGCTAAGTGGCTAACAGCGGGTCACCTGCATTTGGTCGGCGGATGAGCTGTCAATGAAAAACCTGCATACACTATTCATAATTAATAATGCATATGTCTCTGTGTGTTTGCAAACCGTTGCAACACAACAAGTGTTGTACTACTCGGCAATAGTGAGAAAAATAGTGTCTATATTTAAATCTATGCAAACGGCTATGCCATAATCACACAAAGAGACTAATTATTCATAGTGTGAGTTAATTAAAAAAAGAAGGCTTACTTTCTTGGATGAGCCTTTGTTTTTGCTGCCTTTTGGCCGACCTCTTGGTCTTTTCGCAGCTGGCAACCCACTCAATTCCTGGAAGAAAACATGTTTATTAAGAAGTTGTCTTAATACAACATTGTAATGTTACCAAAACTGGGGTTTTAGGGTATTTATATAAAAATACCATCTATACTGTAATTGCGTCATTGAAAAAAATAAAAAGCCCCATGCATTATTATTTTCTTTTCGCTCAGAAAGTAAACTGGTTTACTTGATCACTATAATAATTGATCACTAATAACACAGTATTATTTTATACCTTTGGGTGTTTCCTTGGTCTTCCTTGTCCCCTTTTCTCCACTCCATCCTTGTCTTTAAGGGAGACTGTTTGTTTCTCTGAATCGCTCATGTTTCTTGGCTGTTTAAATAGAAATTAAATTAATTAAACAGCTGATTTTATATCCAAAGAGATGCAATTTGAATTCATTGCCTAACTGATTACCTACATTTACATTTAGACATTTAGCAGACGCTTTTATCCAAAGCGACAATATGACTTAAATAGAGGTTTATTAGTTGCATTTGCTGATTATGTCCATGACAATTACTTAAGTCAAGTCTAGAAATGCATGAATGCAATGATTGATAAAGTTTAAAAGGAAGATATACTGTGATCATTTTATGCACACAGCATTGAGGGTCCCTGGGACATTAAAAAATGCACAGTCAGTCTCATAAAGTTTAATAACTGCATTCATGTCTGTAACCCTTCTGGTTACTTTGGTAAATAACTGGTGTTGATGCACAGGCGAGGCGCTCAGTAGGTTATGCAACGATAAATCTGTATGGAAGCCATATAGTGCGCGCTGCACTTTGAGACGGACGTGCAAATGAGCGTTACAGCCCTCGTGCAACCATTTAAAACAGAACGAAACCTTCACTTACATGCACTTACAGTAAAATAATGGTGTGATGCGCGCTGTTCTGTTCGGTGGCCCCACCTCCCGCACGATCTCTGCTGATTGAATTAGAGCGCAACCGACCGTCTACCAATAAACCACGGTCTAATTCCGAGCTAAACAGACGTCTGCGTGTGGAAAAGAGCGGAATTAACTCTGTCGCTTCCGATCGTATCGCGGGAGACGCGGAATAGATGCGATTAAAGCGAGTTCAGGAATAGCCGCCTGTCAGTGGAATAAAAGGCCAATGGAAAAGCAGGATGAGCCGCAGGTTGATGGGAAGAGAGGCGGATCTCACGAGCCATATGCTGCATATGATGGCTGTGACAAGTTACTGGCGCCAAGTACAAAATCAACTTCAAGAAAAAAAGGAGAGAAAATAAATAAAATACATAAATAAATCTTCAAGCTTCTTTAAATAATATAATAAAATATAATATGCTATACAAATAGCTTCATACTAAAAGAAATAATATATATAATATATAAATAATAGGCCTATATAAATAAATAATTAAATTAACTAGATGATAGATAGATAGATAGATAAACTATATAAACAAAAAAATAATAATGAAATAACTTTTACATTTAATATAAATAAAAAACTAAATTAGTCGTCAAGCTTCTTTAAAAATATAATATAATATAATTAATATACAAATGGCTTCACAATAAATAAATAATGAAATAAAATACATATGCCTAGATGACAGACAGACAGAGAGACAGACAGATAGATGACAGACAGACAGACAGATAGATAGATAGATAGATAGATAGAACGTCTTCCATGCAAATTAGGCTACTTGTACCAACCAAGTATATTCAAAAAGAATAAAAGTATAAAAATGAATAATAACCAATAACTTTTACATTTAATATAAATAAAAAACTACATTAGTCGTCAAGCTTCTTTAATAATATAATATAATATAATATAATATAATATAATATAATATATACTTGTAATATTATTACATTTTATAAAAGAAAAAAAAAGAAAAAGAAAGAAAGAAATCATACGTGACTGCAGCAAGGGGCTCTAGTTTGTGGGTTGGTTTCCGTGACTGGGCGCGTAAATGTGACGTTGTGAAACTACGTCATAGCGCTTGAAGAAAGCAGACTAGAAGAACCAAAACAATGAGATTTACATGATCTGTATGTATGCGTTTCACATGATCTTTTAATTGAAGAAATCATACGTGACTGCAGCAAGGGGCTCTAGTTTGTCGGTTGGTTTCCGTGACTGGGCGCGTAAATGTGACGTTGTGAAACTACGTCATAACGCTTGAAGAAAGCAGACTAGAAGAACCAAAACAATGAGATTTACATGATCTGTATGTATGCGTTTCACATGATCTTTTATTTGAATGTATTCTGGAATGAAACCGAACCGAACTGATGAACTGAAACGCGTGATAGTCGTGTTTTGTTGTGTGTTGAATGGCTGTGAATGGCTTATGTCTTGTTTACATTGCAAACAATTCAATAACATTCAGCCTTATTAGTGCGAGTCAGTAACATTTTGAGAAAAAAATACGTGCATTCGTACTGCAAATGTATTGGATTTCAAAGACTTGTAAAATAGTGGTTAGTTGTGAGAATACGGGTTGTTAAAGTGACGCTCTTCAGGCATAATCAGCTAGCCTGCTAACTAACTGGGATTACAGTTTTAACCAGCGGATCTGTGTGTTTAGAGACTGCTGAGAATGCTGGTGTTTTTACTAAAATGGTCAAATATACACAAAATATGTGTACGTATGATTGTGTAAAATACTTGATTAATGACTAATTAATATTCAGATAGATTTGATAGATAGATAGCTTTGCCTTCTTTACATTGGTGTAGTGATCAATATACAGTAATTCTCAGATCTTTATTTTTGTCACATAATCATTGGACCATTTTAAGCAGACCTGTCACAAATAACCTTTCTGTTTGCTTTTAAATTATGCAGATTCGTTTTTTTTAATAATTATTATTGATTTGTTTATTTATTTATTTTAGCCCCAAAAAGAAAACTACACATTTCAGGTGGTATGTTGCATTTCCTATAAAAGTTACCATCCACCAAAGCCAGTTTTTACTGGCATCTAGTGCTTGGTGAGCGTTCATTTTGGACCTTGCCTCCAGGTATTACAGACTATAAAAAGACCTGACCACAGTTTCTTGCTCAGAGTTCAGAGAGCTAGTTCAGCCACAGCAGTGCTTTGAAGCCACACATGCCCAGTTGCATTAACATACTGTATGTTGCCTGAGAAGTCTGTAATATGCTCTCAAATAACATTGTCATTTTTCAGGACTGAACCGACGTGATCTGCTGGCCGCTCCGCCTCTACAGTAATGCGTTGTCAATAAAAATGGGAGGCAGCGGATCCAAAACCAAAGGAGTCTGGCCTTTTAGCAGCTCAGGAGCTGGAGGAGATGCTCCCGTTGAGGTCAACGAACAGTGTTTAGCACGTCTACGAGGCTCCAAGAACACAACACCATTTGTCTTTACAAGGAGAAGGTAAACATAAAAAACAAAAAAAACTGTGATCTTGCAGGCTTTTGACCTGGATGATCTGAAAGCTATTTAGTTTAGTCAGTTCTTGGTGGTTTGGGCCATGTGAAGTCATTCTCATGTCACATTTCACCTCAAAACCATGAAAAGGTAATAAGAAACTATATTTTGTTTCTGGAAAGACACATTCTTTGCTTAATTCTTAATAATGTAACTCAAATCTAACTGTCACCATTCATCAAACAACAAAACAGTTATTTTTCAGTAGTTTGCAGGAAAGTGTGCTCAATTTTAATTATGCCAGAATCATAAATCAATAAATCAATATTTAATTTAATGATAATAAATTAAATAAAATAATAAATAAAGACTTCACATTTTAAATTCTTAATAAGTTCTTGTTTTTTGGGTGAAATGAGACCTGCATTCATCCAGCTGCTGTTTGTTTGTTGCAGTTCCTTGTATTTCGATGAAGATGGAGATCTGGCTCATGAATTTTATGAGGAGACTGTGGTGACCAAGAACGGCAGAAAGAAAGCTAAACTGAAGAGAATCCAGAAAAACCTTATACCTCAGGTGAGAGATACTGATCCAGTCAGTTACAGAGAAATATTTAGTGTAAATCAACAGGATCAGCTCAAGACATCATGTGAAATGTAAACAGAATAATTACAAATTATGATGATCAAACTCTAAAATTAATCTTAAAGACAATGTTAGATTGGATTTATTCAAGGGTTTGTCCTTTTTTAATTTACATCACAGCCTGGAAAACCTATAATTTGCTACTTGATTTTTTTTAGTAGCATATGAAATGTATAATTTATTATGAAATATTTTGGTCAGTTTTCTATAATAGAAAGATACCAAATTTTTTAAAATGTGTATCTGCTAAAAAAAACAAAGCCTAAAAAACTATTGACTACAAGCTTATTTATTATTTTTTTCTTTGTTTATTGGTCTCTTATTTAAACATTTATTTATTTAAGGTTAAACATTTATTTATTTAAGGTTAAACATTTATTTATTTAATGTTCATTCATTCATTGTCTCTTATCTAAACATTTAATTTACCTTCATTCATTAATGGTTAAACATTTATTTATTTATTTTTCTATTTATTTATTTAATTGTTTGTTTGATGTTTGATCCTGGTCTCCTTTCTCAACACATCTTTTTTGTTTGTTTGTTCATGGTGTCTTATGTAAACATTTCACTTACCTTAAATCACATAATTTAGTTTTATAGCTCGGTTTTTTATATAAAAATTTTTTACAGTATTTTTTAAATTTCATTTCTACAGGGAGTCATTCAGTTGGATCACCCACGAATCCACGCTGACTTCCCTGTCATCCTGTGTGAAATATAAGCACACAGACTCTGTGGGAAGTGTCATGACTCTAGGAGCGTCACAATCACTCAAGACTTCCTTCCACCTTCGGTGTTCTTCTGAAAGGATGCTGTGGCTCTCTGTTACGACAGCGAGGGCATTCTGCCCTTCACATGGCTTTGACCAAAAACATGAATCATATTTTCTGATTTGTGTATAGACAGCAGACATACGATGTCTTGTCTTCTGTGATGTACAGTAAGGAATGCATGTGCAGTGAGAGCGTGTAAGCATGGAGCCTAAAGCAATGCAGGGATTGTACATAAATCACTCGTGTGTTTAATGTCATATATTCTAATATTCTGTTATATCAAAGTCTGACTCTGTTTTTCGGGTTGCAACCCACATCTGCACTTTTTTCTCATTTATTGTACAGTAAATTATGAATTGATATACTTGAATAAAAGGGTTTAGCAGATTACATTGTAGTAATTATGTAACTCAATGTAAATGTTTATAATAACATGAAATTAGTCACAGTCCATAAAGTGAAACAAAATATTCAGTGAGAAAAGACAGTGCTAAAAGGAAATTGGAGACTGAGGATGTTTATTAAATGATTTACAATTTGTCGGCACCATATCAGTTATTAGTCGATATTAGAATAATTGAATACAGCTGTATAAGCTGATTTTGGATATTTAATTGTGGATATTTAACACTGTTAAATATAATCTTTAGCAAATTTCAAAATAAATATCTATTTTTCAAACAGTACATTATAATGTTGTGACCATTGGTATTTTAGTATCATTACAGTTTTTGATCATATTTTTAATTAGATTTTATTTATATTTTCTGTTTTCACTTTCATTTTATTTAGTTTTAGTACTTTTGTTGTGTTTTTGTCATTTTTATTAGTGTTTTTAATGTCTATATAGTAAACTAACTTGCACTGAACAAAATGAGATATGTTGAAGCTGAAATAAAATAAGTAAGTTTTTAAAATATCTATTTTATTATTTTATTTTCAAGTAATGATCATGTTTTTTGTGCGTGTGTGGTTTTAAATTGCTACCCTGAAAACTCACAAGTTTTTAGCATTTCGTTTTTAATTTATTATTATTATTATTATTTATTATATTATATTTATTATTAAATTAGTCATTATTAATTAATTTAATAGTATAGAGTCTATGCTATTTATCAGTTTTTGTCCTTGAGATTATAATAATTTTCGGAATTTCACTATTGGGTCAACGCAAAGAAGTTGTAATACAATAGAAACAGATTTTTTAAATAATTGTCTAATAAATTAGTCAGTTTTTTATCATTTCTTTTGGACACTTTTTCTCTTTGTTGTGAATTGTAAACACAGTTCTTCTCCCATATTTAGTTTATTTTGGCTGTCGGTTCTGTAGTTCGCCTGGCAACTGAGATC